ACCAAACCCCCTTTTAGGCATTGAGTTTAAACTAATGAATAAAACTGTCAAAAAATCTGCTTTCTTGGAATTTACATTCCATTGCCTATCATTGAGTGTTTTCGCTGCTGAACTGCTATTAAAACTTCCATACCAACTCAGTTGTCACTGACTGTGTGTGTGAAGTCTTCCCTCTGTTCCTCTCCTGGCTGTATGACAAGGGCTCCTTCATGATAACTATATCCTCACCTACCCCCCGGCCACTTCGCCTGAGAGCTCCTTACTGGGAAAGCATTGAATTTACCTTTTTAATATCCCTAAGATCTAACAGGGTCTGATACTTACCAGAAGCTTATTAAATGTTTTTAAATGAATGAATTTAAATAGTTTAAAATAATTTTAAATGAATGTATATAGTTAAATTCTCCAAATCAGGGTGACTAGTTAAGGCAATAGAACCTTGGTGTGGTCCTTCTTTCTCCCTGACCACAGCTGAGCTAAAGAGTCAGGGTTAACAGTGAGGGGAAGGGCACAGAACTCAAACAGCCTGCTGCATTACTATGTTTTTCTTTTTTTTTTAAAAAAAGATGACCTAGTAAGGAGTAAGAGGATCTTACCCCTTGACTTGGTGTTATCAGCACCACACTCTCCCAAGTGAGCCACGGGCAGGCCCTGTGCATTACTAAGTTTTTAGTTCAATGCAAGGCTAAGCATTCTTGTCTCCAAATGGGCTCCCTGTCCTCACCTTTCCTAAGGAATGTATCAGTTTTTTGAACTCCCACTTCAATCCTTCCCATTGTCGTTCCAAGAGGGACAAACACTGGTCAGCCCTAGTGAGCCACTTTGTTTTAAAGCCCTTTTAAATCTAGAGTGAAAACAGAAATCACCTTTTGGCAACCCTTCCAGGGCTCACCCTTCTGGCTGTCTAGAGAGTCCTGACAAAACCTATATTGTTTTCATACAAGAGAAACTCTGAATTTAATAAAAAGTTAAAAGCAGGTAACTCGAATTGTTAATACTTGTTTTGATGAATGCTTCCAAGGTCCATCTTAATTTCATGAAAGACAAATATGTCTCCTCCCTCAGATGGGCTATGAGAAAATAATTATGCTCTGTTCTTTAAAGTATCTCGACCAGCAAGATGGAAGAGGTACAGAGGTGCTGCCAGGCTCTTGTGGAGCCTTAGTGGGGTGGAAAGGAAAACGGAAGCACTATCTCATCTTTTCAGTAAATGGTTTGGCCCTGAGGTCAATCTCCCTCATACCCATGTGACCAGCTAAACTCCATCTGAAGCTGAGAAAAAATTATTACCATTTAAGATTAGATGAACACAGAATTTAAATGGTGCCCTTAAACTTGCTAGGGAATACCAGGTCACTTACAGACTGGTTAGTGTGCATGTGGTTATGTTCAAAGTAATGCCCAACAGAGGCATGCAATGAGTTTAAATAGGCTTCATACAGGAAAATACAGGGTAAATCAGATTATGAGAGGAGGGGAAAACAAGATAAAAGGAGGATTAGTAATTCTCTTTGGTACAAAAACAGGGAATGGCTGGCTTTAAAACCACTGCCCAAGGTTCTAGAGACATGTCAGATTTGGACGGGATGAGCAGCCACATCTGGCTTGAAATCACCCAGGGAGCAGACTGCACAACCTTGCTGAATACATGGACCTTTGCCTCACAGAATTTGGAGCTCTCTGATGGCCACATCAGAGAAAGTGCTAGAAAATGGAAGCTTTTCCTTTTATATCTAGTGATTAAGTAAAGAATGAGAAATAATTTGGAAAAGTCAGCTTATGGCCAGAGATCCTCCTGAAAAAGATGGTAGTATTCCTGTATTCCTACTTCCCGAAATTCATAAGAAAATTTTGAATCTCTCTAGAGTATTCTGGGATACATGGCAGAATCATTTGCATATCTTATTTATTTAAAGTAATAACATGCAAACTCCATGAGATCAGGGGTTTCTTTCTGATTTGTTCATCTGAAACAGTATCTGGCACATAGTAGGTACTAAAATTTTTTTTTCTTATAATTTTACAAAGGCCTTGCCAGGACCCTAGATCCTAGGGGTTTCCTCTCTCATGTCTCTCTATCATCCATCTATTTGTCCCTATATATACATATATGGATAAAAATATGCATAGGTATACTCGTATGTGTGTGTATGTGTCTATATATAAATTCACTTAAATATTCACTATACATATTTATATACTTACCAAGTTATTTATATTTCAGAAATTATATTACAATATTGCCCTTGAACACCTAGGACTTGAACTAATGCTATATATTGTTGCTGTGTATCTACCAAATGATGAAGCTTTAGACTATAAGCATTAATAATACCTTATATCTTAAATACTGTGTATGCAGCTAAACTTGCCTACGATGTTATTAACCCTTAATTAATAGTGATTTGACAGCTTAATAATACAGTCTACTTTGTTATCATGGGGCCTTTAATTAGAAATTTAGATGGTGAGATAATTCTGACTGGGGGTATATTTTAGGAGAGTGGAATAAATTATTGGACAAAACTCGAATCACAGCCGTTATTTCCTGAGCAATGAATTCTACAGGAAATCCTTGCTCATATTTTACAATAGAACTGCCCCAGAAATGTCCTACTATAACATAAAATTTGCATGAAAAGGCATTAGTTACCAATGTGATATACCCCTTGGGCGGATTGTAGCAGCTCCTCATAGAGTTTGACATCTTGTCTTTCAATTTCTGACCACAGGATTCTGGGACCCAGCCCAGTGCCTGAACATAGCAGTTGCTCAAAACGAGTGTCAAGTCTTCAAAAGGCATAGTCCACCGCCCGTGGAGTTACAGTGAAGATTTCACCAGCAATTTGGAAAATGCAGAGGGAATTAAAGAAGAGGATTTAAAATCAATCTTTAAGGCACTTGTTCCCAGTGACTTTAAAAACATTCTGTGGAGTTTTCCAAATTTTCCATTACAAACGTATTTTAATAGCAAGGACACTGGGAATCCTACAGATGCTTTCTTAAGGCCCTATACAAATCCTGTAGACCTGGTACTCTAAGAGACCCTCCTTTGCAGTGCTTCTGCTGAATTTCCTAAAAAAGGATAAATTTTTTTAGAATTACAACCTTTTAGAAAGAAGTAGAAAGAGGAGATTTAGTTTTATGAATGAGGAAATGGAGGCCCCGCAGGTCTAGCGACCAGACAGGTATTCATTCCACAGCTACAGGATTGTACAGAATCGTAACTCAGGTCTGGGTTCCTAGTTGCCACTAATCCCTTAAAGTAAGAAGACCACACCCTTCCCCAAATGGAGGCCCCGCAGGTCTAGCGACCAGACAGGTATTCATTCCACAGCTACAGGATTGTATAGAATCGTAACTCAGGTCTGGGTTCCTAGTTGCCACTAATCCCTTAAAGTAAGAAGACCGCACCCTTCCCTAAGTAAGAAGACCACACCCTTCCCCCAAAACAGCACAGATAACTGTTATGAGCCCTTCTGTGCCAACCTCACAGTACAGCATGTACCCCTAATCATGCCCATCAGACTTACTTCATTCTGTCCAGAGATGAGTTAAGGGGTAAGGTGTTCCAATCAACCAGGAATGAGGAAGGGAGGGGGCAGTGCTGGCTAGTGGAGGGTTACCATAATCCTCCAAGCCCTGCCAGACACATGAGCACACATGAACATAGATGATCAATTTTGAAGGGATTAAAATTTCGTATACTTTTAGGAAACAGTATCAAATTATTATTATACTTTTCTTTAATATTCAGAAAGTACATCTTTCTGAATTTTTTCTGGTTTTTCTTATAGCTTCAAGGTCTGTATCCTAATCATTCATTCTCATTGTAAAGGCGTGTGGAAAAAATTGTTCACAGCAAATTAATCTTAAGTGGAACAGGAATAACTATATGATTGTGTGTGTCACAGATCCTAAGAGTGTCTATTAAAATATTCCCTGATTTCAGTATGTTGACTGTTTTACTCTCTCCATCCTAGCTCTCGCCTCTTACATAAATAGTTTTTGAAAGACAGAAAGCACATCTAAAAACTTAAGCTTTCTGTTTGCTTGGGTTTTGGATAAATGGGAATTTGTTGTAATACTTCAAGTTCCATTAGAAACCATAACTTCAGTTAGGACCCAAGCCTCTCTAATCCTAGCAGGAGTTTTTTGGATTGGTTGGTGCAAGCATA